TCAACTGGTGAAATATCTCAGAGAGAGAGAGCAGCAGCTTACAGTCAGTCAGTTCAGTTGTGTACAGTTGATGCTTTGGCTGAAAGCACAAACGGTTCACTGGCTTGCAGCTAAAAACCAGCATGGAGTTCCAAACACAGACACACAAAGACTACCTGAGGGGGTCTGAGGGTCTTAGCCGAGTCCACCAGGGTTCAGATGAGGCCTTCATCCTGACTAAAATAAAATCCAGGTAGAGGTGGGACAGAATAGAAAAATCATCCTGACTCGTGGATAAATATGTTAGATTTAAAAATCAATATGTCGCTGAATTTGCGCGATGTCGGACAGAAAGTAAGTCAAAGGACGAAGCGTGATAAGAAAGGAAACTGACACCAGATAGCAGTGAATATAAACATTAGTTCTGTACTTTAACGTTACCAGACACGATTTGTAGGCGTCAAAACTACGGGGAATATCATTTCGAAAAGAGCGCCGGTGACGTCATCAGCGCCTTTCTGAATAGAAAGATTTTCAACTTGAGCGCTCGGAGCAGGCATGCAAAGAAAAGGAGGAGCACTCGGAAAAGCCACTGGATGGTGTGCTTTATCGCCAGGTGGCCGCCTGCTGCACTGCGAACGCTCTCTCCTCAGTGAAAACAATTGAAAAAAGACGCTGGAGATGAACCATTGATACCTGTTTTGATTCCATGGCAACAAAGGTATCGACATTGTTAGATTTTTACAAGAATCGTATCAAAGTTTAAGAATCATCTTCTTAAAATCTGTTCGGATGTGAGCAGCATTAAAGCAGGAGGTAAAAGCAGGAAATGTAATAACAGACTGAAGACTATCAGTATCTGATAGTATACTATCACTATGATTAACCTGCTAATTAAAATGTTCTACCTGAACATCACAGAAACAGGTGAAGGATGATGAGGAGGAGGAGGAGGAGCAACACACACACACACACACACACACACACACACACACACACACACACACACACACACACACGATCCAACTCAGACAGCGGGGGATTCTGAGGCCTTACCCAGGTATTTGATGGTGAATCCCCGCGGCGGGTTGAGGGACCTCCGCATCCATCCCTCCCTCAGCACCTCCAGGTGGTCCTCCTTCCCCTGGATCAGCAGCACATGCTCGTCTATCCATCCCAGGAAGAAGGTCTCGGACACGGCCTCGGTGATCCGCTGGTTCCACACATGCTGCTGCGTGTTTTCCGCTTTAAAATCCGCAAATATCTCATAGCCGGTGTGGTGTCGCGGAAGCTCGTCGCTCTCTGACACTCCGCCCGCTCCCCCCGCCTCCCCGGCCCCGACCCTGGACAGCACTATGGCCAGGGAGTGAGGCGCTATCTGCAGGAAAGACTCCATGACGCTGTGGGCCTTTAGCTGGCTGTGAGGAGCAGAGCGATCACCGTATTTACACACACACCGTCCATGTTAGCTAACAGCAGGTCACACCGCATAGCCTCACTCAGCCTCCATCAGGCTAGCATGCTAGCTCCCGTTAGCGTTACATGAAGCCCATTCCCTCACCTTACAGGTAGGTCTCGTGCTCCGGACGGAATGTTTCACCCCTGAACCGACCCCGGGACTCTCTAAACAGTCATTGGGAGCGGTGTCCACCGGTAACGAGAGATGACATCCGTTATTTTCTGTGTAATTCCGCCTCTTTCGTACGTTAGGTACCTGTTAGCCGGATGCTAACGTGTTAATGAATTCACCCAGGCAACAGATGCGGCGCGTCGTTGAGCAGCAGCTGGGTCTCGTGGGACAGCTGTGTGTGTTTCCCGGTCTTCACGGTTAACGGGGAGGCACGAGCCGTCCAGTCCACCGACAGGTACCTTCGTCCTGTCTCGCGCCAGGCACGCTCCGGTGCGGTGCGCGAGGACACAGCTGGATGCGGGTGCGTCTCATCCAGGTAACGTTACGGCGGACATCGTTACCGGAGGAGACGAGACCGAACAGCCGTTTCCGGCCAAACCTTCAAAATAAGATTTACAACTCCACAACAACACTCATAATAATTTAATAATAATAATAACAATAATAATAGTTATATTATAATTCTCCATTTCATATATCCGTCTCGAGAATTCATTTGTGAATGTTTTTTGTGTTCATTTTTATTTCTTGATTTCTTCTAACTTTTTGAATAACTTTTAATAACTTTTTGAATTGCCCCCCGGGGACAAATAAAGTTTTTTGAATTGAATTGAATTTTCCTCTTTGTCCCAATCAAACAAAAAAGATGTTGTTTGGTGTCTTTATGGAATACAGATTTTATGATTTCGACATTAACGTAATTATACTGCTAGGTACATTTTTAATTCATAAGAATAAATTTCTGAAAAACCTATTTTCAGTGTTTTCCACAAAGAGATACCCAACTATTTTCAAACGCTTACATTTTTGGACAAGACGAGTGGTTTAAAACTTTCAAATTTTGTTGAAGAAAGTTAACTTTCTGAAAATATTATACTATTATTTTTATTTTTATTATATTATACAAGCACTAAAACATCAGTCAACAAAAAGACAGGCTACTATAAGAAAAGTCTAGAAATAATAATCTTAAAGCAGAACGGTTCCAGTGACAGACTCTTTTTGAAGTTTTGAATAATTTGAACTCATTGATAGAATTCATTCAGAAGAATAAATGTCTTAAACTCATTCATAATCTGTTTGGACTGTCTTACTGAATACAAAACAAACTGATACATTTAAAGAATCATCGCTGTAAATACTGCACTCTGGTGGTCACACTGGAACATTACAACTTCAACTTTGATGATGTTGAACTGAGAAACAACCTAACATTCTACTTTTTCATTACCTTTCCTCAAATCAATGTAATTATAAATAAAATATAAATGTAGGCCTTTTCAAACGAAAATAAACTGTCTTTTATTTCTTCTTTTATGGATTGAATGCCTGTGAATGTCCTTTAAATTGAAAAACAAGCTAATGTTTAGTGCTGAATGGGACATTGGGACAGGTATTTTCTAGTCTCAAAGAACATGATATTTAGTGTGAAGGTTATCGTTGAAGAAAACCTCTTTAGAGCAGAGAAAAAGTGTGAGCTTTTGGCTTAAATCAAACCCCTAAGCAGAGACGGCCACTGATGTAAAAACACATTTAATTAAGAAAAAGAGCAGGCTTTGAGGCAGGGAGCTGGCTGGCCAGAAAAGTTCTCCTCGAGACGGCACGGGATGACAAAGGAACCTCAGACCCTGAGACTCGTGAACAGCGAGGCACATCAGAATACCTGAGCACCAAAAAACACAGGTAAGTACAAAAATATCCAGAGCACAAAAAATAAGCAGCTCAAGCACACACAAATAATCATTGAACGTAAACCTGAGAACAGAGCAGAGTATGAAGTGAAGACCTTTAATAGTCAGGATGATGAGCTGAGAGGAGCCAGGTGTGTCTCGTCTGCTGCTGCACACCCCGCTAACAGAAAGGGGAGAGGGAGAGAGAGAAAACAAACACAAACAAAAACAGAACTAAACAGAACCATCAGTAAAAGAGGCTGAAAACAGGAAGTATGAAACACAGTGGAGATCTGCAGCAGAGGCGTTAGATCAAAGAAGATTTCCTGTTAAAAAGATGTCTTAGTTTCAGCTTACAGAGTTCATAATCATTTCTATCATTTCTAGAGTCGGTTGGAGCCAAGGGTTAAAATTCACCGGGGGCCCCTTTAACCAGTGTTCATCCCTAATATGTCCTCCAGTTTCCTGACTCTGACTCCACAGCGCTGGCTGCACGGCTGCTACCTGAGTTATGACACATGTAAAACGCCAAAGAACAATCACCATAATGTAACGCTAGCTGGTATGCTTTCTGTTTTTCACGCTCTGATGGATAATTCTTCTTCATTTTCCTTTGGTGACCTTCATGCCAAACTTAGTTTTTTAGAGGAATAGTGCAGGTGAAATGAGAGTGATGGGACCCCCTTAGGGAGGTTTCCTACTGTCGCTGTAAAATCTGTACATTTTCAGCCCTTGCAGGGGTTTAAAGTTTGTCAGCCCTTTGGTCACAAGCAGTCGCCTGCCTTGCCTGTTCTTAGAATCAGCACATTGCCTAAGAATTTCCCCTCAAAGTTAGGACTAGATCCTGGTCATCCTGGTTGTCTCAAACTGCAATTTTTGTGATTAATAGAAAAATAAATGCAGCTGGTTCAGTGTGTAAGAGTTATGCATAACTATGGGCGAGAATGATGTGGCTGTTAGTGGGCGTGTTGTAGCTGTCTGTCAGGCCTCTTACAAGGTTGACTTATTCTGTATCAGTGAGCTTCAGAACTAGCCTTCAGAAACCAATGTGTGACATCACTGAGACTACGTAAATGTTTTATACAGTCTATGTCTGAGACGCAGGGAGTGTCTCATGAAGACATGCTTCCCTTTGAGCTCTTTATTACCTGGATTCTCTACTCCAGGCGCTATCTCTACATTCACAGGTCATCACCTGAGGTACACCTGAGGTACCCGACACGCGGAGAAGCTTTAAAATTCTTCACAGGATTTGAGCCTCGAATGATCTGAAGATGCATGGACGACATCACACATGATCTGTCTGAGCGACGTGATAGAAATGAAAACTATAGAATAGAATATATCTTTATTGGAGACACAGGTAATGCAATCTCTATTAGAACCATAGAACTCTATGAAATTTCACAAATAAGACTTGAACCCTGTAGAGCAACTCAATGTACAAAAAGTATATTAAATCAAAAGTGTGAAGTTGAGGATGATGTCACCGCCCATAAGTGAGGCAGTTAGACATTGTGACACTGATAGTGCTTTGTGTTTTATTAACAGGCGTGTTGATGCTCTGTGCACTGTCCTGCAGCGCTGCTTTAGCTCTAAACACTTTTTACATCACAGTTTTCCTCATCCTGGAGAGGCGCTGTAGAACGAGAACATGTTTCTGTAATGTCTGATCCAACTGTGGTCCTAACTCGGTCCTGGAGAGTTTTGATCTCAGAACTTTATATCCTGGGGAGGAAGTGTGTCATGGTCATGGTGGGGCTGACTCGGTTTCCTCTCTTGGTTTTCCCGGTCTTGCTCAGTCCGATGAACATGCCAGGGTAGGCGGCAGATTCGTAGGCGTTGTAGTTGTTGGCTAGGAGCTGCTCCTTGAACTTGCATTCATCGTTGTAGTGACCCTGAGGAGGAAGAGGAGGAGGAGGAGGAGGAATAGGAGGAGGAGGAAGAGGAGGAGGAAGAGCAGGAGGAGGAGGAGGAATAAGAGGAGGAGGAAAAAGAGGAGGAGGAAGAGCAGGAGGAGGAGGAGGAATAAGAGGAAGAGAGGAGAGGAAGACGAGAGTGTTTTCTTTGGTTCTGTTTATAAGACATGATGCTGTGTAACAAACGACCTGTGACTCGTGACATGACAGCAGGACTTGACTCTGATTTGGTGGCTGTCTGTAAACATGGCAACAAGTCGGGATCTGTCCTTATTAATGCCCTCCGCCACAGATACTTAACCCCCCTCATAGTGTTTTATGATAATATAAGATGTAACTCTGTCATACAGGTCTGGACTCCAGCTAAAGGTCAACCCCCACCCCCAACCTTCATGGACCACCCACCCTGTACATGCACGACTGCTGCTCTCTGAGTGAGTCGATGACTAAGTGTGTGAGGACTAACTGCTGTTTGCTTCAAGGTTCACTTATTCTCAGTCAGCATTCAAAACAACTTTAACTCCAGCTGATCGCTCCTGTGTGGGGGCGGGGCCAACACATCAAACATTACACATATGATGACCCTCAATTAACTGTGACATCAATACACAGAGAAATACATACTGTGTTTATAAAGTCTTTGTAGACACCATTACATGTAAAAAGATTTATTAACAGTTAAAGTCAGGGTTGGTAATTTTCTAAAACTAGCATGATTTTGAAAGTAACATTCCCTCAGTGCACCATCTACACCCGCCCCCTCCCCTCTGTGCTCCCTCTAAAGCCACGCCCCTCACTTACATGCATGAGCGCCGTTGGTCCAGAATGGACCTCAGCTCGTGCTTTGAGTGTGGGCATCAGATTGGTACCTCGTGGCAGACATTGGTTGAAGTTTTTACAGACTTAAAACTGATACAGATGATGGATTTACTTTGTTCCTTTTTCAGAGAACATGAGTTATTCATTTCTGTCAGGACCTAAAGACAATTCCAAACAAAATCAGAAAAAGTGGATCTGGAGAAAATTACCAACCCTGCCTTTAAGGCTTGGGCCTCATCTTAAAATATGTTTTTGTCAGGCTTAGACCCACTTTGGATCAACTGTTACAATTATTCTCAATAATTATGCATTTAGAATAGTAACAGTAAAATATGTTGCTGTTATTCCTGCAGGTCTAAACCTTTGTTAGCGAACACCAGAATGCAGGACTGCTTGAGTTACCTGCATGAGTCCCTAAATGTAGTATGGGAGGTAGAGCCTTCAGTCATCAGGCCCTCTCTTTTGGAATTATCTTCCTGTCAGGGAGAGGCAGACACCCTCTCTACTTTTTTTTTTTTTTAAGATTTATTTTGGGCTTTTTGTGCCTTTAATGCAGAGGGAGGACAGTGGGTAGAGTTGGAAACCAGGGAGAGAAAGCGGGGAATGACATGTGGAGAGGGGCCATGGGTGGAAGTGAACCCGGGCCTACCGCTCGAGATGAGAGTCTCAATACATGGGATGTGCGCCCTAACCATTGCGCCACCAGTGTGCCCCCACCCTCTCTACTTTTAAAAGTAACATTAAAGCTTTTCTTTTTGATAAAGCTTATAGTTAAGACTTGCTCAGGCTTGGGCTAGCTCCTAGATGTGTTGCTCTAAGCTCAGAATGCTCTGGGACCTGTAAATGGACTTGAGCTTATATCTTCTGACTACTCAAAGCTCTTTTACATTGCATGTCACACCTACACATTCACACACTCAGTTAGAAGTAACTAATCCCATTCATACACCACCACCGAAGCAGGGGGAGCCGTTCAGGGTCAAGTGTCTTGTCCAAGGACACATCGGACATGTTGCCCAGCTAGGGATCGAACCCTCGACCTTCTGATTGAGAGACAACGACTGAGCCACAGACGCCCCTGTGGCGTAACTCACATAATTCACACCAACATAAACAAGTAACAGTTCCTGTTCCCTTATGTTCTTACTGAGCCGTAAAGTTTCCCTTTGTCACTCATGGCAATGAAGAGGCCGCTCCTCACCCCGAACAGAGTCACCACTCCTCTGTCCACCGGAGAAATCTCTAGAAGGCCTAGAATCAAGAAACATGACACAGAGTCTGGTTAGTTGTTTGAGCAGCGGAACAAAACGGATTGCACACCTCCAACAACATTTAAACATTTTACCTCACAATTTAACATCTCCAGACTGTGATTGTGTCAAGCTTTAAGACATTTGTCAGAAGGTGCTGTGACTTCTCTCACTGGTGTTTGGACGACAGTTTTGAAGCCTTATGTTTGGTATTAAGGCTGTTGGGTCATGGTGTTTGATACCTGAAGTGACCATATTAGGTGGGCGGGATTGGAAGAAGTTAAGTCCAGGGACTTGGTTCCAAGTAGCATGTGATGACATCGTTAAGGTCTGTGTGGGTTCAGTGCTCAGGCTTTAGGGTGGAGATTGAGATCCAACAACTGAGTGTGATGACTGAAATCAGAGTCTAGCATGTTTTTTTCTGATGTTTTGAAGATTTTGAGCACTTTTGTATCCAGGCTGTGAAGGCTTGACAGAAGCACTTTCTGTTTTTATCAATTCCACATAAAAATTATTTAAATGTTGAAATTGTTTTTGCAACACAGACATACCTGAATTCAGAGTCAGTGTCAGTAACTATGGTCCCTTAACTCTGGTGAGAGGATCAAGAGATGTAAATCTGATTGTTTTCATGTTTGGGAACTATTCACAGTGACTTGATATTCATACCTCTTTATTCCTTCCTGGGACAAGTAGGCACGTTCTGCAGCGCTCCACGAGAAGGAGAACTCTTTTACTGTTCATTAACTTCACTGATTTTCTACTCAGCTGATGACGTTTACCATCAACACTGACAAAAAAATCTCCATTTTCTAACCATTTCCTCATTAAAGACGGTATATTAAGATGGACGGAGAAACAGCCGCCTGGGAGTGAAGCCAAATGATTTAGAGCTCCCCCTGCTGACTGGCTGCAGTATTGCTTATAAACCTGCCTCTTCTATGTTAATGAATAGGACATGGGTCAAACTATAAAATAAAAAGGCACGTCAGATAATTGTTTTGGTCATGGTAGTTAATATCACGCTGTTTTGTGTTCAAGTGATTCGATATTTGATTCCGAAAAACATTTTAAAACGCCATGATTGACAGCTCAGTTAATGAATGAGGCTCCTGCAGCGCTGTGTGCAGCAGATTATTATCAGAATAGAGGATGAGCAGGGAGAGGAAACATTACGAACACTAACACAAGAATCTTTCCATAAACGTGAGTGTCTGCTTCACCCCGACACAAGACTGTGGACTGAACCCGTCGCAGGGACCTTTGACCTTTTATCAGTAAGTTCAATGTGTGTTCCTCCTTTCAGAACTGGATTTAAGTAGTCTCTCTCTCTGTAAATTATATTTTTAGTAACCCAAGGTTTCTAAGGTGTCTTGTCTACACTGGCTGGTTGAGACCGCAGCTCTTAAACCATCAAACTTACTGTATCTGTTTTCAGTGTGCACTCCTGCGATCTTCCCGCTGGGTAAGACCTGGATGTGGAAGCCGATGCCCACGTTACAGTACAGTCTCCTCAGTCTCTTTATGCCCACCAGGTACTCTCCGTCTCTACCCGCCGCCTCCCTCTTGTCCCAGGAGCTGCCGCTGGTCCAAAGCAGCGACCCCACACTGTGTACTGTCTGCCTCCTGCTGCTGATGACCGGGAGAGGAGCCAAGGAGCTGCACAGGAGGATCCCATACAGGAGCAGAGGGAGCCGGGACGATGTCATCCTCTGATGTGGAACTTTAAGTCCGTTTAAAGTTCAGTTTGAGGAGAAATGTTCATAAAATCTGCCCAGCCTCGTGAGGTCTGAGAAACGCTGTGAAGAAAATGTGGAACTCTTTGAAGCCCAGAGAGAAGCTTCAGAGTTCATCTTTCCTCATGTCTAAAACCTGAATCCATCAGGGTCCCCTCTATCTGAGCGCGGCTGCTGCGTCCTCCTCAGGTACATGCAGCAGACAGACAGCACACTTATATGTGCTCCATACTGCATCACTGACCACCTGCTGACAGGTTTGTCTGTGAGTCACAGATGCACACAAATGGAGGAACACACAAAACACAAAGTGACAGAAAACAAAGAGAAACAAGCAAGTAAACACACACACAAACACACAAACACATGGTGGTAAATAAAATCATACAGAGACGTGAGACAGAGAAGATGTAAACAGCGCTCATTGGAGCAGGTCAGTCCACCTCACCAAGCTGTGATTCAACAAACATCTTAAGGGGGCCTGTGAAGGCCGTTTGCTGTTTATACAGTTCATTATTCTTTCATTGACAAAGAATAACTTCTGTTCTTAACTCCAGATAACCATCAACATTTTTTCACCCCCCGTCATCTAAGTTCCCCTTTCCTACATTCAGGTTAAAGAAATTTCAAAGTCCTCTTGTTATTGTATATTTAGTTGTTAGCTTGTTATATGAATAATATAATAATAATATATGAGTAATATGAATTTAAAGGGGGTACCAACATCTACAGGCTGGCAAGCTCTGTGCTTCTGATCTCTAAGAGTTCCATGGCACAGGTCAAGGTGGTCTGTGGGGGCTGAACTCCATCAGAGTGAGAGTGCAGCTCCATCAGTGTGAGAGTGCAGCTCCGTCAGAGTGAGAGTGCAGCTCCATCAGTGTGAGAGTGCAGCTCTGTCAGAGGAAAGGTCCAGATAACTTCTCTCCACATTCACACACTAAACAAGAGCAAACTGCACCGAGCACCAACACTTTTTGGGCATGCTTGAGCTCAAATGTCATTTGCACTTTATGCTTTGTGAGTTAGACTGTGAGACGGTACAGATAGAGGGAGCAAATGATTTTACGAGCTATTAGCGGCTGCAATCCATTCTTAGTGAATCAGACCACTGGGCGGTATCATTAGGCAGCTGAATCTATATGGGGGCGGGACAGGGAGGTTTTACCCTAACCCAAGTCCATGGCAGAGAAGCCTCTGTGGATTTCCACTTTGTGAAAGAGCTTGGCCCTCTAATGGAGTAGCATGGTGTCAGGGTGGCTCCTTAAATTGTTTATGGACAACCAAAAGAGTTCAGGAGATACCTTCCATACAGTTACCAGACATCCTAAAGAATGATATAAACAACAAACAACAACAAAGACAACTATCTGGATGTCAAGACTGCTGTGCATTGCAGATTTAATAATAATAATTATTAAATAATTATAAACACTACTGAAATAAAATAGCAAAAAGTGGTGGATGGATATGAACATCCAAGATGAACATGTCCAACATGTCTAGGCAATTCTATGATTTTGTGTAGTTAAAGTCCAGATAAAGACAAACAGGAGCATGAGTCTGAACTTTGATAAACAGCTGAAGTGACTAAATAGAAATAAAGTGTGACCTGTGGGTGGTTGTGTTAGTCGAGCGCTGGGGATCTGCAGAGGCCCCCCTGCCTGACGGGATTATGGTCAGTGAGGTGCAGCTTTGTTTATAGGACAACGTAGAAATAAACTCCAGAGTAAAACAATCCAGCATTACATCAGTGAACCCGGATTCTCAGGCTCCTGTCAGAGTCCCACTTCCTCCCACATGGCTGGGGGGACACCAGCTGATGTCAGAGCAGATGTCTATGAATGGTCACCCACGTCACAACTACAGTGGGGTTTCCTCCCGGGGGCGGGACGAGTCCTTCACATGTGTACACACATGATCTATCATTGCTTTGTCTCTCGGAGTCCTGGGATGAGCCCCATGAGCAGCACTCTGACGCACCACATGTCACAGGATATCAGCCCTGCACGGCTGCTGGAATATGTTCCCAGCAGATAGAACAACATGTGTTGGTATGAATCACTCTGTTGTTTGTATTTAGTCTTTATGCTCGAGTTGTTTGTGTGTTGCCCAGCAGTAGCAGCAGCAGAACATGCAGAGAGAGAGAGGAGGGCCTCCTTCAGATACAATATAAATAATATGTTAATATGAATCATATGTGACTGAATCTCTGTGATTTTTACTAACATTATTAGAAGCTCATCTCAGACATTTGATTTATTAATGCTGTTGTAACACTGCTGACAAATAAAAGTGAGTGTGTCAGTGCAACCAGTAACCTTTACTTTGTTCCCTTTATAATAATAGTCCTCTCTCTGTATTTAAGACCAGCAGGAAGAAAAGGACCATTATGACTGATGGCAACAGAAACACAGGTAGGTGGTGGGTTTTCTGATCTGCTAAATAATACAAATCAACTCTTAACTCTTTAAACATCACAGTAGCCAAGGGGGGGGGGTGACCCACCTCTGTGCAGCAATCTGCAATCTGAGGTAATGACCCTGAAGAAGGTCACAAGCCAAAATGCGTCGTTCTGAGGTAGTCACAGAGGTGTAACAGGAGCGAGGTGGAGAACAGCGTTGTGTGTGCGCATATCTGAGTGTGTTTAAGTACACCTGATTGTAACAAAATCTAAACAAAAGCCCTTTAAAGATTACAAACAGCATCCGTAGCAGTGTTATATCGGTGTCCAGGGACGGACTGGGTCATCAACGCCTGGCACGGGTGTCACAATACTTTAATCATGACTTATGACACTATACCATCCAAATTACAGCAATAGCACTGATGTTGATTTTAACATCATCTATTCCATGCAATCTTATGATTACTTTATTACTCAATAATCTTAATTAAATTATGCAATAATTAACTTACTGCACAAATGATAATGAAAATACACCACTATAAATGTAACTTCTGTATTCAAAGTCTTAAAAGTTTGTAAGTATTATCAGAAAACTGTAACGTTACCAAAACTTTAAAAAGTAAAAGCACAACAGTTTTTTATATATACAGTATATAGCCTATTTCTTAATATTACTGCATGTGACATTTTACACCTAAAATGTGGAGCTGTTTTAACTTCTATAATCATTATTTCACTTAATTTTATTTCATTTAATTTTTTGCATTGTACTGAGCAACACAAACAGGGTATAGATAAAAATGTAGCAACACCTGAAGAACATTTGCTAACATCAGCCAGCAAGTAACTCTCTTTCTCCCTCTCTCACGTCATGTTCCATACTTACTTACTATCTGTCTGTGGAACTTCCACCCGCTCATCTCTCTGTCCCTCATCATCACATGTGGCCCTACCATGCTGAGGCTGCACAACTGTCTGGCTCACCTCAACACTCTCTTCTTCACTCATGCTGCTAACTTCTTGGATGCTGCTGCTAACGTCAACTTGTGCCTCAGTGCTGCTGCCGGCTGTGCTGCTGCTGCTGCCGGCTGTGCTGCTGCTGCTGCTGGCTGTGCTGCTGAACATTTCAGTGAGCTTGTGACATTTAGCGGCTTCACTTTCTAAATGTCACATTTTTTATTCCCTCGCCTTCTCAGCCCCACCCTTTTCTTTGTATTTTTTACCGACGTTATCCATATTTTTGTGCTTCACTACTACTACCAAAGATCGTCTTCGCTGCTACTACTTATTCTTCTTCTTCTTTTCAATTAGCTGGTGGGCACGGGCGGCTGCCGGCTGGCATCCAACTTAAAGACGCATTGTTGCCACCTACCGGACTGGAGTGTGTAACAGTAGATTAGCAGGGGGAAAAAAACAAAAAAACTGGTGATGACTGCGTGGCGGCCGCCGGCCGTCCTGGAGTACCGACCGTTCTGTGATTCTCCAGAACACACAGATGGCCAGTCCGCCCCTGTCGGTGTCCCAGCAGTGATTACATTTGATGGGGGATCAGGGGCGTAACCACTTCACCAACCATCCACTCTGAGTTTTTTCCGATCACTAATGGTGTTCCACATGGTTCAATCTTAGGCCCAGTTCTTTTTACAATTGTTTTAAATAATATTAGTCCGTCTTTATCTAGTGGTCATTCACATGCTCACTTATATGCAGATGATACAATATTGTACTGTATTGCAAACTCTGCTCAGCTTGCCATGGAGAACCTGCAACATTCCTTTAATGTTCTCCAAGTTGCACTTAACAATATTGAATTGGTTTTAAATGTTCAGAAAATGAGATGTATGTTGTTTTCTAGGGCTAGAGGTGAAATTGATAATAACCTTCAAATTACCACCCTGCTAGGATCCCATATCAAGAGAGTTAAAGTATATAAATATCTCGGTATCTGGATAGACGACAAACTAACATTCAAATATCATATTGTAAATCTTCCTATCAAATTATGACAAAAGATTGGTTACCTATATGGAAATAGATCAAATGTCTCTTTGTTCTGTCGGAAAAGGATAATCGAAGCAGTTTTTCTTTCATTCATGGATTATGGTGATGTAGTCTGTAGACATGCATCTACCACTACGCAAAAGCCCTTGGATTCTGCACTTCGATTTATTACTGGTGATAGCTATAAAGTTGCTGAATAATATTCCACACAGCAGAGTATGGTTTTAAGGTTCTTTAGTTACATTTCAGGTAGCATCACATTATCTTGTAACGGCTCCCATAGCCTCGTTATTCTTCGTTTTCCAACACATCTTTAAACATGAACCCAGAGGGCCCCCTTGTGGGCCAAACAGAACATTACCAAACTACAACATCACATGCATAAAACATAAACATTACAATAGCTACATGACTCACCACTGCATTTTACTTGATAAAGTTGGTTGGCCCTCCCTCACTGAGAGACGCAATAACCACTGGTATCTTTTTTTTTTTAAATCTATAAAGCCCTTACTGGAAAGCTTCCATCATATATCACCTCATTGTTAAATCTGAACCTGGTCCA